TTTTTTATTATTTTTAAATTAAAATTTTATATATTCTTAAAATAGTAAAGGACAAGAAATTCTAAAGCTACCACCGCAGCACAATAAAATACAGGGTTTAATTTAAAAAATTATCTATATATTATTGATCTTTTATCATTTTAATCTAAAGTTTTTATTTTTTTTCAAAACCATCTATTAATTTTTAAAATTATGTCAATTTCATCTAATCCAACACAATGTTAGGTTTGGTGATAAAATTCATCTTTAATTATATAAGTCCATAAAAGTTGCCATGTAAACAACCACACGGATGGCTTAAAAGGGGAGGAAATTTTGTTTAAAAACTTTTCACTATATAAAATAAATTTTTATATTCAGATTTAGTTCTAAAGAAACAAAAAAAATTATTCTTTCATTTTCAGGCAACATGCTAACTTATGTGGTATCACACAATAAAAACATAAAATTCTATTAATTTGATTATAAAGAGAAATTATTATGCCCAACCTCAGACACTTCATCAGACTATAGCTGGAATAAATATGGACTCTGAATAGTTTGTAAATGTTTAAAACACGTCAAGAAAGCATGAGAGTTTAAAGGAGTTTATAAAAATTTATTCTTGATCAATATCTTTATCAACAAATAATTAAGTAAAGTAAAACTTAAGATAAATTGGATCTTGTCTATTTATATATAGTCAAAAGATAGGCATTAGGGTTTGACTGCCAGGATATCATTTGAAAAGGTATGTCTGAAAATCAGACAAAACTTTTAGTAGTCAAAAGGTATCTCTATGAAATAATATTTTTCTTGAGGGATACATCCTTACAAACAGTAACTTTTCAAGCAATATAAATTCCTATGCAAAATTAGAATTTTACATCTAGTTTTTGAAAGACTTTTGAAATTATTGTATTTTAAAGGATTTTAAATCTTAAAAAAAAATGAGATCACACCTTACCATATTCATTTTCATTTCTTGCAATTTCATATTATTTGTTAACAGACTCCCTCCTTCCATACTCTTCAGGAGATGCCGCACCTGTTATCAAACTTATTTATGGATTTCTTGAGTTTTCCAATGATTGATTGAATTGTCTGACTCACAAATTCAAATCAAGAGAGCAAGCAACCTCGGAATGTCTTTTATCATAAGCAAGCTCTGCCTTTTAATAATCAATCTTCAAATGATTTCAATCCCATATCGGCTTTCAATCATGATGGAGAGTTTGCTTTTTATTTGGAATACACAAGTAGATTTCAATTGAAGGTTTGTTTGGTTTTGGCATCTTCACAAGACTGCCGAGACTGCCTGTGAAAACTCTTCTGAGGTTCAAGTGCATGTCTAAGGCACTCTATAATATGGTCAACAATCCATGTGCCGTGTTCACATGCACCTGAAACATGGTACCATAGAATCTAAGATTTTTCTTAATCCCATCCCTAATAATAAGGATATGGTGGATATATATACACATTCCATATCGTTACAAGTTAGATGGTTTTTTTTGCCATTGCTTGCTCTGTCCTTTCAATTTCTTGAATGGTTCCATGATTCTCTTTAATCCTCCATTGCAAGAGACTCTGCTCCTGCCACCAACTCCTGCTTCAACTCTATGTAGGCCAAG